CCGCCCCACTTAAACCCCCCTACCGCCCCTTAAACCCCCTACCGTCCCACTTAAACCCCCCTACCGCCCCACTTAAACCCCCCTACCGCCCCTTAAACCCCCTACCGTCCCACTTAAACCCCCCTACCGCCCCACTTAAACCCCCCTACCGCCCCTTAAATCCCCTACCGCCCCACTTAAACCCCCTACCGCCCCACTTAAACCCCCTACCGCCCCATTTAAACCCCCCTACTGCCCCACTTAAACCCCCCTACCGCCCCTTAAATCCCCTACCGCACCACTTAAACCCCCCTACCGCCCCTTAAATCCCCTACCGCCCCACTTAAACCCCCCTACCGCCCCACTTAAACCCCCCCTACCGCCCCACTTAAACCCCCCTAACGCCCCACTTAAACCCCCTACCGTCCCACTTAAATCCTCTACCGCCCCACTTAAACCCCCCTACCGCCCCTTAAATCCCCTACCGCCCCACTTAAACCCCCCTACCGCCCCTTAAATCCCCTACCGCCCCACTTAAACCCCCCTACCGCCCCACTTAAACCCCCCCTACCGCCCCACTTAAACCCCCTACCGCCCCACTTAAACCCCCCTACCGCCCCACTTAAACCCCCTACCGTCCCACTTAAATCCTCTACCGCCCCACTTAAACCCCCCTACCGCCCCACTTAAACCCCCCTACCGCCTTTTAAATCCCCTACCGCCCCACTTAAACCCCCCTACCGCCCCACTTAAACCCCCCCTACCGCCCCACTTAAACCCCCCTACCGCCCCACTTAAACCCCCCTACCGCCCCTTAAATCCCCTACCGCCCCACTTAAACCCCCCTACCGCCCCACTTAAACCCCCTCTACCGCCCCACTTAAACCCCCCCTACCGCCCCACTTAAACCCCCCTACCGCCCCACTTAAACCCCCCCTACCGCCCCACTTAAACCCCCCCTACCGCCCCACTTAAACCCCCCTACCGCCCCACTTAAACCCCCCTACCGCCCCTTAAACCCCCTACCGTCCCACTTAAACCCCCCTACCGCCCCACTTAAACCCCCCTACCGCCCCTTAAACCCCCTACCGTCCCACTTAAACCCCCTACCGCCCCACTTAAACCCCCCTACCGCCCCTTAAATCCCCTACCGCCCCACTTAAACCCCCTACCGCCCCACTTAAACCCCCTACCGCCCCATTTAAACCCCCCTACTGCCCCACTTAAACCCCCCTACCGCCCCACTTAAACCCCCCTACCGCCCCACTTAAACCCCCCCTACCGCCCCACTTAAACCCCCCCTACCGCCCCACTTAAACCCCCCTACCGCCCCACTTAAACCCCCCTACCGCCCCTTAAACCCCCTACCGTCCCACTTAAACCCCCCTACCGCCCCACTTAAACCCCCCTACCGCCCCTTAAACCCCCTACCGTCCCACTTAAACCCCCCTACCGCCCCACTTAAACCCCCCTACCGCCCCTTAAATCCCCTACCGCCCCACTTAAACCCCCTACCGCCCCACTTAAACCCCCTACCGCCCCACTTAAACCCCCCTACTGCCCCACTTAAACCCCCCTACCGCCCCTTAAATCCCCTACCGCCCCACTTAAACCCCCCTTTCCGCCCCTTAAATCCCCTACCGCCCCACTTAAACCCCCCTACCGACCCACTTAAACCCCCCCTACCGCCCCACTTAAACCCCCCTAACGCCCCACTTAAACCCCCTACCGTCCCACTTAAATCCTCTACCGCCCCACTTTAACCCCCCTACCGCCCCTTAAATCCCCTACCGCCCCACTTAAACCCCCCTACCGCCCCTTAAATCCCCTACCGCCCCACTTGAACCCCCCTACCGCCCCACTTAAACCCCCCCTACCGCCCCACTTAAACCCCCCTACCGCCCCACTTAAACCCCCTACCGTCCCACTTAAATCCTCTACCGCCCCACTTAAACCCCCCTACCGCCCCACTTAAACCCCCCTACCGCCCCTTAAATCCCCTACCGCCCCACTTAAACCCCCCTACCGCCCCACTTAAACCCCCCTACCGCCCCACTTAAACCCCCCTACCGCCCCACTTAAATCCCCCTACCGCCCCACTTAAACCCCCCTACCGTCCCACTTAAATCCTCTACCGCCCCACTTAAACCCCCCTACCGCCCCTTAAATCCCCTACCGCCCCACTTAAACCCCCCTACTGCCCCACTTAAACCCCCCCTACCGCCCCACTTAAACCCCCCTACCGCCCCACTTAAATCCCCCTACCGTCCCACTTAAACCCCCCTACCGCCCCACTTAAACCCCCCTACCGCCCCACTTAAACCCCCCTACCGCCCCACTTAAACCCCCCCTACCGCCCCACTTAAACCCCCCCTACCGCCCCACTTAAACCCCCCTACCGCCCCACTTAAATCCCCCTACTGCCCCACTTAAACCCCCCTACCGCCCCACTTAAACCCCCCTACCGCCCCACTTAAACCCCCCTACCGCCCCACTTAAACCCCCCTACCGCCCCACTTAAACCCCCCTACCGTCCCACTTAAATCCTCTACCGCCCCACTTAAACCCCCCTACCGCCCCTTAAATCCCCTACCGCCCCACTTAAACCCCCCTACTGCCCCACTTAAACCCCCCCTACCGCCCCACTTAAACCCCCCTACCGCCCCACTTAAATCCCCCTACCGTCCCACTTAAACCCCCCTACCGCCCCACTTAAACCCCCCTACCGCCCCACTTAAACCCCCCTACCGCCCCACTTAAACCCCCCCTACCGCCCCACTTAAACCCCCCTACCGCCCCACTTAAATCCCCCTACCGCCCCACTTAAACCCCCCTACCGCCCCACTTAAACCCCCCTACCGCCCCACTTAAACCCCCCTACCGCCCCACTTAAACCCCCCTACCGCCCCACTTAAACCCCCCTACCCCCCCCCCCCCCCACTGAAATGCAGACAAGAAACCAATGGTTTAATCAGAGATGTAAGATAGCAAAGCAACTAAGTGCAAGGGCGTGGAGAAACTATAGAAATAACAAGGCACTAGAGAGCAGAGAAAGATACCAGAGCGCCAAGAATAAATACGTCAGGGGTGAGAAGAGAGGCAGAGCAACAATATGAAAATGACATAGCAAGCAAGGCAAAGACTCAACCTAAGTTGCTGCACAGCCACATCCGGAGAAAAACAACAGTGAAGGAACAGGTAATGAAATTGAGGAAAGAGGGCAAATTCACTACAAACGACAACAAAGTGTGTGAAGAACGCGATAAGAAATTCCAGGAGGTCTTCACAGTAGAGCAAGGAGAAATCCCAGAGATAAGAAAGGGAATATCTAACCAGACACTACTAGACGAGTTTGTGATTGCTACTAAAGTTCAACCCAAGTAATTGTAAGGTGACGAAACTAGGCGGAGAAAATAGGAGGCCAGACACTGGATACCGAATGGGAAATGAAGTCCTTCACGAAACGGACAGAGAAAAAGATCAAATGCCCACATCAAAAGAATAACATCGGCGGCGTATGCGAGGCTTTCTAACATCAGAACTGCCTACAGAAACCTGTGTAAGGATTCCTTCAGAATCTTGTATACCACATGTAAGGTCAATCCTGGAGTATGCGGCCCCAGCATGGAGCCCGTACCTTGTCAAGCACAAAATGAAGCTGGAAAAAGTTCAGAGGTATGTCACTAGGCTAGTCCCAGAACTAAGAGGCATGAGTTATGAGGAAAGGCTGCATCAACTGCACTTCATGTCGCTGGAAGACAGAAGAACTCGGGGAGACATGATCACCACATACATAATTCTCAGGGGAATTGACAGGGTAGACAAGGATGGATTATTTAACACGGGTGGTATACGCACAAGGGGATACAGGTGGAAGCTGAGTACCCAAATGAGCCACAGAGACATTAGAAAGAACTTTTCAGTGTCAGAGTAGTTAGTAAATGGAATGCACTAGGAAGTGATATGATGGAGGCTGACTCCATATACAGTTTCAAATGTAGATATGATAGAGCTCAAGAAGCTCAGGAACCTGTACACCAGAAGATTGGCGGTTGAGAGGCGGGACCAAAGAGCCAACAAAGTGATTTGTTGTAGCGCAATACAATAGCTAGAGCTAAAAATCTTGAGGCTTTTGTATAAATTAAGGTTGGTATCTCAGCAAGGTTACTAGACTTAGTTTTAAGAGAAAGGATTATATCTTTTACATCTGAGAAATTAGCTGGAGTAATGTAAAGAGACTCATGGCTAGACTGTTAATGGGCATTCCAGAAGCAATAGGGCAGCTGACCCAGGACAGGAAATGGTTGGGTATGAGTACGTGGCTGGAGACTAAACACCACCTCCTGGCTGACTGCTATATGCCGTGACGGCTCCAGTACTCTCAGGTTTACTTTATCTCGGTGAAGACTATTGTTGACAAAATAAGAACAGCAACAATGACAACAACAGGAGCCTCAACGTCAATGACTAACAAATGTTCAGTCATCAGCCTGGAAATTCTTATCTATGCCTTCTGTGTTACAGAATATATTTTATACATACTGTACTAGCTGTGCCACTCAATTAACTCTGGTGTTGTCTTTAATTATATCAATTAAGCTGATTGTGAGTACTGCAACATTGCTTCGGCTAACTGGCACTAGGCACTGTTAATGTGCTACGACTTATCTTTAGTTGCATCTTTGCAGTACTGGCAATCTAATCAGTCATGTTATACGACATCATTTATATTGTGGTACAGCAGTTGCTCTATATACATTATTTAATAAATAAGGTCCCTCCATTCTGGCTTGTGTTTTTTCTCCCCGATCAGAATGTATTATTCTTATTACTAATGCTTTTGTCCTACTATTAACGTATTTGTTGTTATCAAATAGAACAAATACATTAATACTACAACAAAAACATTAGTAATAAGAATACAGCATTATCAATAATAAGATGACACCTTAGTAAATAATAATAAAGTATTAACACAAGACAAAACAGGGTATAAATACCGTAACTAGAGACTCACCTACCTATTGTTTTGACGATGTCGAAGTCGTGAAGAGAATATTGTCTGACGGACGACACTCCGTTACTGGAGGGCGAGGGCGGCTCCTTAATCACGCCCACCTTCCGTCGGCCGCCCACACGCCCACTAGAAATCATGGCGGTGGTGGCCGACACGCTCGCTATCTTCACCTGGGCCACTGTGGTGCTGTTATCCACGCCTCGTTATCACACTAGTCTACAGGGCCGCCTGGGTGCCCCTCCCCCCCTCTGTCACTGGTGAAGGGCGCCCTCTAGTAACACAGGAGTGGGGTCCTCTGTCAACACAGGTGTGGGGTCCTGTCAACACAGGTGTGGGGTCCTGTCAACACAGGTGTGGGGTCCTCTGTCAACACAGGTGTGGGCTCCTTTGACAACACGGGTGTGGGGTCCTCTGTCAACACGGGTGAGGGGAACTGCTAACAGCACAGATAATGGAATTTCTGACAGCAATTGCCACTGCTCAGCTGTGTGGGGTGTCCACTGCCGTGTTTGTAGTGGAAGAGGGTTGTGACAGGTGTGGGGGGGTTGACAGGTGTGGGGGTTGTGGCAGGTGTAGGGGTTGTGACAAGTGTGGGGGTTGTGGAAGGTGTGGGGGTTGTGACAGGTGTGGGAGTTGCAGCAAGTGTCACCACCCTTTCATCAGTGAGCCGGTCGGCCGAGCGGACGGCACGCGGGACTTGTGATCCTGTAGTCCCGGGTTCGATCCCGGGCGCCGGTGAGAAACAATGGGCAGAGTTTCTTTCACCCTATGCTCCTGTTACCTTGCAGTAAATAGGTACCTGGGTGTTAGTCAGATGTCACGGGCTGCTTCCTAGGGGTGGTGGCCTGGTCGAGGACCGGGCCGCGGGGACACTAAAGCCCCGAAATCATCTCAAGATAACCTCAAGATCTCAAGATAACCTGCTCCACACATCACCAGCATTATTATGCCTCCCGCCTCCCTACTGTCGTAACAGCTTACACGAAGGTCACCATTGGTCCTCTACACCACGCCTCCCACTCCACCTACACGATGTTCCACTCCACAGCCAGTACTTGTCACTCCTCACACTGGATGTTCCCCTCCACAGCCAGTACTTGTCACTCCTCACACTGGATGTCCCACTCCACAGCCAGTACTTGTCACTCCTCACACTGGATGTCCCACTCCACAGCCAGTACTTGTCACTCCTCACACTGGATGTTCCACTCCACAGCCAATACTTGTCACTCCTCACACTGGATGTCCCACTCCACAGCCAGTACTTGTCACTCCTCACACTGGATGTCCCACTCCAAGGTCAAGATTTGTCACTCCACACACTGGATGTCCCACTCCACAGCCAGTACTTGTCACTCCTCACACTGGATGTTCCCCTCCACAGCCAGTACTTGTCACTCCTCACACTGGATGTCCCACTCCACAGCCAGTACTTGTCACTCCTCACACTGGATGTTCCCCTCCACAGCCAGTACTTGTCACTCCTCACACTGGATGTCCCACTCCACAGCCAGTACTTGTCACTCCTCACACTGGATGTCCCACTCCAAGGTCAAGATTTGTCACTCCACACACTGGATGTCCCACTCTTGGTTATTGGGCATTCTCAACATAGGCAGATTTCTTCATCAGGTGACAAGATGGCCCGTGCCATCAGCCCAGCAGACAGACAGCATTAAGCGCACAGATGGGGCAGGAAAGGTTTAAGAGCACGCCACTCCTCGCACCGCCGTTTCCTCACACCAGCACTCTTGTCTTACACGTCCAGAAGTCAGCCTCTATAGGTGCGACTTACTCTACATTACCGTCTCACGCCTGACTGAACGGTCACTTCTGTGCGTCCGGAAAGGTCCAAGAGGCTATCAGCTTGGGTGAAGACCAAAGCATCAGGGTCCTCCCCACTCTCCTCGCACGAACCTGGCCATTTAAATAAGGAGATTTAAACAGTAGGCGGAGGACACGTCAGGAAGCAAGCCTCCGCCAGGCTCCCTCGGTAATGTCAACGATCTTGTACACGTACACTGATCCGTTTCACCGTACCCAAGGTTCGTGCCACACGCACTACCCGCCCGTCACGGTACCCTCATCTTGCACAAAATATTGGAAGTGGATCAGAAACGGGATTTGAAACCAGCAGACAATAGTGAGGTAGGATGAAATCTCTCCGTACACCAGCCTCTCGCCGCGGCCAGAGCCACACTGACAACGCACCAGCAACTTTCTAGCTGGACTCTCGCCTCTACTCTCACACACAACACACACACATGCAACGCACGCACGCAAAGACACATGCGTGACGCAAGCTCTGCTTAGGAACAAAAACATTTGATACCAATCTTTGTGGTAACGACGTTAATAATGGCATGATCAACCAAGTCGTCAACACTAAGCGTTGCCAAACGCCTCGAGAACAATGATTAACTGCGATCTATAGTATAAGGGTCCTTGCATGGTAATTGTTTCGTCTGGTCTATACAACAGTAGAACACCACCACCACCACCATACTCCGCCACGACAACCACTCCCGCCATACAACACCACCACCACCACCACAATACACCATCACCATAAACTGCCAGCACCACAACCTCCATACTCGGCCACCACCACCACCACAACCCCCACACACCACCACCACCACAACCTCCATACTCGGCCACCACCACCACCACAACCTCCACACACCACCACCACCACCACCACCACAACCTCTACACACCACCACCACCACAACCCCCACACACCACCACCACCACAACCCCCACACACTACCACCACCACCACCACAACCCCCACACACCACCACCACCACAACCTCCATACTCGGCCACCACCACCACCACAACCTCTACACACCACCACCACCACAACCCCCACACACCACCACCACCACCACCACAACCACTACACACCACCACCACCACAACCCCCACACACCACCACCACCACAACCCCCACACACTACCACCACCACCACCACAACCCCCACACACCACCACCACCACAACCTCCATACTCGGCCACCACCACCACCACAACCTCTACACACCACCACCACCACAACCCCCACACACCACCACCACCACAACCCCCACACACTACCACCACCACCACAACCCCCACACACTACCACCACCACCACCACAACCCCCACACACCACCACCACCACAACCTCCATACTCGGCCACCACCACCACCACAACCCCCACACACTACCACCACCACAACCCCCACACACTACCACCACCACAACCCCCACACACTACCACCACCACCACCACAACCCCCACACACCACCACCAGCACCACCACAACCCCCACACACCACCAGCACCACAACCTCCATACTCGGCCACCACCACCACCACAACCCCCACACACTACCACCACCACCACCACAACCTCTACACACCACCACCACCACAACCCCCACACACTACCACCACCACAACCCCCACACACTACCACCACCACCACCACAACCCCCACACGCCACCACCACCACCACAACAACCCCCCACACACCACCACCACCACCACCACCACAACCCCCACACACCACCACCACCACCACCACCACCACCACAACCCCCCACACACCACCACCACCACCACCACAACCCCCACACACCACCACCACCACAACCCCCACACACCACCACCACCACCACAACCCCCACACACCACCACCACCACCACACACCACCACCACCACCACCACCACAACCCCCACACACCACCACCACCACAACCCCCACACACCACCACCACCACAACCCCCACACACCACCACTACCACAACCCCCACACACCACCACCACCACCACCACAACCCCCACACACCACCACCACCACCACCACCACCACCACCACCACAACCCCCACACACCACCACCACCACCACCACCAGCACCACACACCATATACCCACCGTACGCTTGGGGGCCTCGTAGCCTGGTGGATAGCGCGCAGGACTCGTAATTCTGTGGCGCGGGTTCGATTCCTGCACGAGGCACAAACAAATGGACAGAGTTTCTTTCACCCTGAATGCCCCTGTTACCTAGCAGTAAATAGGTACCTGGGAGTTAGTCAGCTGTCACGGAGTTAGTCAGCTGCTTCCTGGGGTGTGTGTGTGTGGTGTGGGAAAAAAAGTAGTTAGTAAAACAGTTGAGAGGCGGGCCGAAAGAGCAAAGCTCAACCCCCCAACCCAACAACTCATTGGGGTGAATACATCACCACCAATATACTGTACACCTACCGCTATACACCACAACTACCGCTATACACCACAACTACCGCTATACACCACAACTACCACTATACACCACAACTACCGCTATACACAACAACTACCACTATACACCACAACTACCACTATACACCACAACTACCGCTATACACCACAACTACCACTATACACCACCACAACTACCGCTATACACCACCACAACTACCACTATACACCACCACAACTACCACTATACACCACCACAGCTACCGCTATACACCACCACAACTACCACTATACACCACCACAACTACCACTATACACCACCACAACTACCGCTATACACCACAACTACCACTATACACCACCACAACTACCACTATACACCACAACTACCACTATACACCACCACAACTACCACTATACACCACAACTACCACTATACACCACCACAACTACCACTATACACCACCACAACTACCACTATACACCACCACAACTACCGCTATACACCACAACTACCACTATACACCACCACAACTACCACTATACACCACAACTACCACTATACACCACCACAACTACCGCTAATCGCTAATGCTGTCATGATTATTCGCTAATCGATTGTTTATACAATCGGTCCACACCTCACCTCATCGTTCTCCAATACGTTGTCAGGAATATGTTAACTGTAATTAGGGAAGAGGTCTTAGTTTTGTCTTAAGTGGTTTAAGTAGACTTAACGCTCATTGTCCTTAAACTAATGAGAGCTTGGAGCGAGCCAGTATATTATTGACATAATATACTCGCTACAATACATATCATATCATATACATATCAGTATGTATGGCAGGTAGCTGCAGATAATGAATCCCCAATGGTGAACATTGCAATTGTAAACTATTTATTTATTTATATATATGCAGGAAGATACATTGGGGGTTAACAGAGAACATAAAGTTTAAGTTGAAATTACATTCTTGTAAAGCCACTAGCACGCATAGCGTTTCGGGCAAGTCCTTAAACTAACCTGAGAGCAAATCTTTAAACTAACAGATGATTTTTAGAGAATTAACAGTGAAATTGACAAAAAATTTTTACAGGTACTTTACAGCTTTACAAGTACAGATAATTTTATGTTGAATAATTACAGTAAAATTGAAAAAGAAAGTTTACAGGTACATTACAAGAATTTTTTACACAAAAGCAGATTAGAATAATACACAATAATAACAATACACAATAATGAACAAGGATTACTAGGTACAATTAGGAAAACATCTCAGGGTTATACATTGGTTCACTGAAGCACAGTATGAGGATCATTACAAGGAATAATGCAGTAGAATATGCACACAATACAACAACCATAATATCTAAGATGATCTAAGATTACAATGGTAAAGAATATGGCTTAGGAACCTTAGATGATTAGCCTTAGATGGCTTACTATGTGAACAAGTGCTAGGACATTACACCAACATATATCTGTGATTGTCTTGTTATCAATGATTTCAGACCAAATGGTATGAGGTACTTTGAGCTCTGTACTTACTTCATACACTTACAAATATTGGAAGATATTCTTTTTTTTCCACACCTTACCCGAAACACTATGCGTATTAGTGGCTTTAGGTATTGTATGTACTAGCTCTATCTGTAAATCCAACATTATGTTTGTAACTCATCTTCCATGTATGTACTTTTACCTGAATAAACATTTGAATTTGAATTTTGTACCTAGATTTTGCTAGTGGAAGCTATATATAATAGATCAGCCTTACATTTCATGTTCTATCCTGATTCCATGTATTTTTATTTATTTATTTGTTAATTTATTTATTTGTACAAGTTCTTACATTCTTGTACAGCCACTAGCATGCATAGGGTTTCGGACAAGTACTGAATCCTAATTTTCCCCGGAATACGACCCGCCAAATCGTTTAACAACCCGGTACCCATTCACTGTCACTCCATAGGAGCTCCCCCACCCCAAGCACAACCCCTCCCTTGCCCCTACACAGTGCCCACCTTACTACCCAAATACTCCTCCCCCCCTTACCCCGAGTACCCCCCTGACTCCCCATCCCGTCGCCTTGGTCTTGCCCCAAGCAGGCCCAGGCAAGATCTAAGCCTTCCATCCAAAAACCCTTGTTAACTACTCCACAGGAGGACGAGCCCTCACCCCGAGCACTCCTTGCCCCCAACTGTGGTGGGTATGTGGGCCTGCGGGCCGCTCCAAGCAACAGCCTGGTGGACCAAACTCTCACAAGTCAAGCCTGGCCTCGGGCCGGGCTTAGGGAGTAGAAGAACTCCCAGAACCCCATCAACCAGGTAACCCCGAGCACTCCCTCCCCTAGGATTTCTTCCTGTCCCAACCAGGCCCGGGCAAGATCTAAGCCCTCCATCCCCCACCCCACCTTCCCCCGAACCCCAGGTAACTACCCCACAGGAGGATGAGCCTACTCAAGTAGCCCTGGCCATGGAATGGCTTCCTATACCAGTAGGGAGGGTGGGTGAAAATGGATATAGGAAAGTGAGCTTCAAGGTAATGTACTCAGACATCGATGGGATTACCAATAAAGCAAGTGAACTGGCAGGAAGGGTGCAGGAAGAAAATCCAGATGTAATAGGACTCACAGAAACAAAATTGTCAGGAGTCATAACAAACATTGTGTTTATCCCGGCCCAAAAGGAGAAAAATGTAAAGCAACAGAAGAATCCGTGGCTCAATCAGGGATTGAGGTGAAGCAGGGTAGAGTAGAGTAGGGTAGTGAAGCAATTGTGTGCAAGAACATGGAGAAACTTCAAGAATAACAGAACACCGAGAGAAGGGAGATATACCAGAGGGCCAGAAAAGAGTACCACAGAGTAAGGACAGAAGCAAAGAGACAGTATGAAAATGACATCTCGAGTAAAGACCCAACCAAAACTGCTTCACAGCCACATCAGAAGGAAAACAGCAGTGAAGGAACAAGTGATGAAACTGAGAAAAGGGGAGAACAGATACACAGAGAATGACAAGGAAATTGAAATTGAAATAAGTTTATTGAGGTAAAATACACACAAAGGGATGAGGTAGCTCAAGCTATTCTCACCCCGTTCAGTACATCGTGTTAATACATATATAGACACACATCACAAACAATAAACATATTACCGAACATTCTGAGAGATAAACATGTACATTCTTCCTTTACACAAGTAAATGACAAGGAGGTGTGTGAAGAACTCAACAAGAGATTCCAGGTCTTCACAATAGAACAAGGAGAAGCCCCTGCACCAAATGAGGAGACGGCAAACCAAGCAACCTTGGAGGAATTTGACCTCACCAGTGATGAGGTCAAAAGGAATCATTGGAGCTGAATGTGACAAAGGCTGTTGGGCCTGACAGAATCTCATTGTGGATTCTAAAAGAAGATGCAGAAGCACTAAGTGTGCCACTCTATGGTGTATAACAGGTCACTGGAAACCAAAGATCTACCGGAAACTGGAAGACAGCTAATGTAGTCCCAATATACAAAAAAGTGATAGGCAAGAGGCACTGAACTACAGGCCAGTTTCCCTTACTTGTATACCATACAAGATGATGGAGAAGATCGCGAGGAAAAGGCTCGTAGAGGATCTGGAGGGAAATAGTTTTGTAACACACCACCAGCATGTCTCCTTTGTGTTCCACCCATGCTACAGAGTTTGTCTTTGTCCACCCTGCCAATTCCCCTGAGAATTTTGTAGGTGGTTATCATGTCTCCCGCCCTTTGTACAGTGACCACAACACAGTAGTTGCAACATCAGGATCTGCGGGTTGGTACAAGAATTCAACCACCTACGAACCATTTAGTTTGATGAAAGGGAGCAGTAGAGCAACAGAAGTACACTTACATCGCATCAGGCTTGGATACCCATGTGCATGGGAAATAGACTTACAGGTTCCGGAAGATGAAAGGAAATGTCAGCACTGTGGAGAAATGCCCAACAGACCACTGGAACATTATCTAACACAGTGCACAGTTACAAATCCATTTAGATTTCAACTTAGATTCAACAAAGCAGAAGTTGTTAAACACATATGGCAAAATCTTACTGAAGCGACCATACGAGTTATAAATACTCATACTCCAGCCAAGTAAAACAGAAACAAGCAACACTTAGTGGGCCAGCCAGAGGCTTAGGGTCCGCGCAGGAATATCCCTGCAAAAATAGTCTCCCCTTATTCTTCTGTTTTCCAGGGACATGAGGTTTAGCTCCTTTAGCCTTTCCTCGTAGCTCACACCTCTCAGTTCTGGGACTAGTCTGGTGGCATACCTCCGAATCTTCTCTAACTTTTTCTTGTGTTTAACTAGGTATGGACTCAAGGCTGGAGCTGCATATTCCAGGATTGATCTGACATTAAGTGGTATACAAGGTCATGAACGATTCGGTACAATGGGTACGAACGTACGGTATGTATGTTTGTATGTATGACTAACCATCCTGTGAGATGGGGATATTATATGAAATTATAGCTATTTTTTTATCCACACTCTGTAATCTTTCATACAGAATAGGGTAGCAGCACATTGTTGTGTACACCTAAGCTTGTTAATACAAAAAGAACAATTTTAGGGATCGAGGACATGAATGTTTAGAACTATTTTTACTTACTTCCCCATTACAATATTCAGGAGTTAAAGTTACATATGAAGTTTTAAGGCTTCTTAGTGGATTTTTAGTATAATAAATTATATTTTTATGTTTCATATTAGTTAATATAATTGCGTTTAACAAAATAATAGTAAATATTTATTATATTTTATATCAATGTGGCCGGTATATGAGCCGGAAACAGATATTGGCGATGTGTTGTCTATGAGGAAAGACCAGCGGCGGCGGACTTCACTATTAACCTGACCGTCATATTACCTGCTCAACATGGGCGACGACTGGGCGAAGGCAGCCGAGGAACAGGAGGCAAAAGATCTGGTTGCTAAAGTACGTGTTGAAACAAGGTTTTCTTCTCAGAGTAGAGAAAACTCTTAAGATGGAAGCGATGGCTGTGATAGCTCCGGCCAGCACTCTGGCTGTCCTCTATATATAGTGTAAAAAAAGGGGAAAAAATAAAGGTCTTGCATTAGTTATTGTAAATTTTAAGGTCTGAGGGATGGCAAATTTTTTTCGGTTCAGAGAAATAAAAAAAGATCAGGATCTTTTGCAGATTTTATTAGAATTAGTTAATGATTGCTTCCTTAAGCATCATATTAAGGAACCAACATGGGGAAATAATGTTTTAGATTTAGTGTTAACAAACAGGGATTTTTGACACTAGACAGACACAAATAAGACAGAGTTGGTAAGACACTCGCCTGGCATTTCACGAGCACTTTGTCCTGGGTTTGTATCCTGGCCGGGGAGGATTTACTAGGCATAAATCCTTAACTGTAGCCTCTGTTTACCCAACAGTAAAATGGATACCTTGTTAAACGATTTGGCGGGGTTGTATTCTGGGGAACATAGGATTAAGGTCTTGCCCCAAACACTATGTGTGCTAGTGGCTGCACAGGAATGTAAAAACTCTTTGTGTACATAAAAAAAATAATAGGGAGTGAAGTAAGGAACAGTGAGGGATGACAGAAGTGCAGTCACTGACGCTCAAAGGCCAGAAAGCAAGAATATAGAGAGCCATGATGTGTTTACATATATTTAGTAACTCAAATTTGGCTACAATATTATGTTATTATGTTGAACTCAAATTCTGTTACAATGTACCAATTAATACTTTCACTTTTTTATTAGTTAGATTAAGGACCTGCCCGAAACGCTATGCATATTAGTGGCTTTGTAAGTACTGTACGTATGTAGGAACACGAGAGTTCTCTATTCTATCAACCCAATGTATCAACGTGTGATCAGCATAAAACGTTCACTAGACATTGTGACATTGTAATTGCCAGAATTAGGCTGGGATATTGATATATATGGCAGGTGGCTGCAGGTAATGAATCTCCCAATGGTGAACATTCCAATTGTAAACTAAGCGAACAAGAGCTAGGACATAGTCTACAACACTATATCTGTGATTGACCTGTTATAAGTGACTTCAAACCAAATAGTATGAGGTACTTTGGGCTCTGTAACTACAGTACTTCATACACTTACAAATATTGGAAGATATTCTTGTGCTGTACCCAGAGTTTGCTAGTCGAGGCTAATATATCAGCCTGGCATTTCACGTTCGCTCCTGATTTCATGTATGACTAACCATCCTGTGAGATACGGATATTAGATGAACTTATAGCTAGTTTTTAATCTACACTGTAATCTTTCATATAGAATATGGTAACAGCACATTTCTGTGTATACCTAAGCTTGTTAATAAGAAAAAGTGATCACAAGGAAATCAGATTTAGCATAGAATGAAATAGATATGTAAGAAAAAAATGTGTTAAGGTGCCAAGTTTCCAAAAACCTGATTTTAATGGACTGATTTATTCTTCACAAGATATTTCTTGAGAATAGATTGAACAGACCTAAACATGGGGAATAGGCTGGTCTTGAAATGTTATGTACAAGAACGTACGAACTCTTGTATAAAAAAAGGGGAACCTAGCAATGCTGTAACAAAGGACTGCGATGTATTTTCAAAATAACTATTTTTTTATTTTTGTAATATTCGTAGCAAAGCTCAGGAACATAGTATACCTTACAAATGCATTAGATTTACCTGAGGGCCACTAACACCAGTGGCCTCAACAAGGACTTGAAGCTGGCGGCTTATCAAAGGTCTCCCCCATTTGCCTTGATAATGCTTTTCAGGTGGCTTTTAAAAACCTAAGAGTTTTGGCATTTGCAGCTTTGGCAGATCCATGGGTTTATAACCCTGGGGGTGAAAAAACATCTGTTCTGAGGCCTACATTGTGACTTATTGAGTATGATCCATGGAATCAGCAACAGGTATATTATATTTGCTCTGCTAGATGTTTGGTTGTCCCAGGGTAGACCTCTTCTTGTTGGCATGGAACCAGTGACTTCATTCTTATATGGCTCCATTCTGTGATTGCAAAGCTCTCACAGGGAATACCTTTCAACTGGAATGATCAAGCCGGAGGTGCTTTTACCTTTTCCTCCGGTTCACGTGTTGTCCTGGGTTCTGTCCAGTAGGTAGTTGTACTTGGGGAGGTTGATCCTTCTGGCTCCATAGTGGCCGGCCCAGTCTTGGAGTTTGGTAACTCGACATTCTCCCTTCTGAACACCTCTGGACCAATTGCGATTGGATAGGTAGTCGTGTTTTGATAAGTGATAGAATTCCCCCCCACCCCAGGCACGAAAAATCATTTTATGTACAAAAGTACGTAATACATTATTGTTTCAGTAGGTACTTTAAACAAAACCCCACAGAATACTAGTAATACAGCAACAATAAATATGGGTACTAACCAAGTGTCCAGATATTTCTTCACATATGATCTTGGAGTGATGTACAGGTATTGGTAAGTATGGTGGTATTAACTGAGGGTTGAATAGGACTATAGGTTGAACCAGAATAGGACCAATGTCGTCAAGGTATCCTAGCCTCATAAATTGCTTGAAAGCTACCTTTGGTGTAGTTGATGTGTTAAGATTCGGTTTCCTTGGCACTGAGTGTAGAGGTGTCCACCCCGATAATTACGAAATGGCAGTGCGACTCGGTGAGCGTGATGACCATAGGTACATACCTTCATAACACCTCTCGCTCTCCCTTACCACCATTCAGGGACAGTGTGTATGTGGCGGTCCTCAAAGGAACTGCTAAGGTCCCTGTGTTTCTGGTGCACATAAGGGTAAAGTGTCAACTCTTGATTACATGGGCAGGGGGGGGGTTAGTGCTCGAGCACAGGCATAACAGATCTTCTTGACCTGCTATGTCCAGAGACATAACGAGACATGGCTGAGTGGTCAGCGCTATGGATTCGTAGTCTTGTGGAGCAGGGATCGATTCCCGGCGATGGCGGAAACAAATGGGCAGAGTTTCTTTCACCCAGATGCTCCTGTTACCTAGCAGTAAATATTAGTAATTAGACAGGTTAGCTGTCTAACCTGGGAGTTAGACAGCTGCTATAGGCTACTTCCTGGGGTTGTACAGTGGTACCTCGGAATGCGATTGTCCCTGTATGCGAGGTTTTCGGAAGGCGAGGTGTATTTACTCCAAAAATTTGTCTCGGAAGGCGATGGTTACTTCGGGAGGCGAGTTTGGACGCGAGTTTGTTGATACGCGTACAGCCGACCTAGCGCGTGGTGGTTCGGCGATCGTCGCCCCTCAGTTTATTATTGTCTCGCGCTCAGTGACTACCCCCACATCAATTCTTCTCGCGGATTTTCAGTGTTTTGTTGGATTTTTGGTGATTTGTCTATACAATTTGTTATTATATATCTCACCATGGGTCCCAAGAAAGCCAGTGGTAAGGATAAAGGCCAGAAAGCTCATGTGAGGATGACAATAGAGGAGAAACAAGAGATCATTCGGAAGCATGAGAACAGTACACGTGTTGTTGAACTTTGTAGGCAGTACAACAAAGCCACATCAACAATATGCACTATACTTAAGAAGAAAAATAAGATTATGGGTGCTAAAGTGGCAAAAGGAGTAAGAACATTAACGGCACAAAGACCACAAATACTTGAAGAAGTGGAAAAGTTGTTATTAATTTGGATACACGACAAGGAGTTGAGGGGTGATAGTGTTTCAGAGGCCATTATTTGTGAGAAAGCCAGGGTGTTGCACGAAGACCTTCTAAAGAATACCCCTGCAACGAGTGATGCAGATAAGAAAGAGTTTAAGGCAAGCAGGGGCTGGTTTGAAAAATTTAGAAAGAGAAGTGGTATCCATAGTGTTACAAGGCATGGGGTTATGTGATGTGATTATGGAAGGGGACTCCCCTTCCAAACAGTAACTCCTCTCCTCCTCCCCCCTCCTCACCATCTTCCATACGCCTACAGCACTCGACAGCAAGGTAAGTAATAACTGGAACACAGTTTTGTAGGTTTATTTAGATGAATTAGGTAAATTAGGTATAAAAATTTAGTTTGATGTGGGGTTTTTGGGGTAGTCAGGAACGGATTAATTAATTTCCCTTTATTTCTTATGGGGAAATTAACTTCGGAATGCGAGTTTTCGGAAGGCGAGGCGTCTCCAGGAACGGATTAAACTCTTATTCTGAGGTATGCCTGTATAACAAAAAAGAGGCCTGGCCAAGGACCGGGCCATGGGGGATGCTAAGCCCCGAAATCATCTCAAGATAACCTCAAGATAACATGCTGAGTCAGAGAGAGAGAGAGAGAGACAGACAAGAAGACATATCCAGGTCTTCTTGTCGGGCATGTCTTGAAGGGCATGACAATCGTCTTAAGTGATCTAAGGTGTGAGTGTGTGGCATACTACATAATTTACACTCCTTACATTTTTCACTGACATCAACACCTTATTGCTAAAAATAATTGTATCCTACTCTTAATCTCGTGTAAATTGAGTCCTTCCATGTAGACTTCCCCTACCATAAGTAAAGAACAAATTTGTTTTTACTGTATTATTGCATAATGCTTAAGTGAATTACTGCTGTCCACCATTACTGTACTGTTCTCTTAACTTTTTCTTTATTCTCTTGGATTATCTTGATTTTTGTCTTTATTTGTTTCAAAGTTTTTTTTACATACAACATTGACAAGAGTTTTTTCCGTGGCTCTCTTTGCTATTGCATCAACTGCCTCATTCAACAATATTCCCACGTATGAAGGGATCTACATGAATGTTGCTTTATACCGATTTTCTGTGGGGAGCCCCTACGAGTCCCTGGAGCTTATCGGGCTAATGTATGTTATATTAGACCAGGACATTAGCTGTGGAGTTCAGACGTACCAGGGACCAGCGCCAGAACCTGGCCCCTTCAGAGAGGTTTCAGGGAGCAATGGCTCTGGAAAACCCCCTTGTGGCTGGGGTTTTCCTTATCTGCCATCGACCGGGGTTAGGCACCTTGAAAGGTAGGCAAAACAAACCCCACGTGGTAAGAAACTAAAACAAAAAACCAAACAGAGAGGTAGAAAATCCCAAGGAAGCAAGCAAACAAGCAAACTTCACACATTTCTGCTGCGCAGTAATGAAAACCAGCGTCAACGCTGGTTTTCTGTGGGGAGAAAAATGTAATGAAACGCCATTTTCTGGGTGAGCTCCGGAGGCTCCCTGGCAACCCTCCCTCCCACCAGTCGGTATTTTTTTCAGAAGCTTAGCTTCTGAACTGGTGCTAGACAGCCGGCGCGGTGAGGTCCAGGAGCCCCCCCTTCCCCTCTCGGGCAGGAAGAGCTGCGCGGATGAGCAGCGCGGCAGTAAAGTGTGATGTTTGCTTGTTTCCTTGGGATTGTAGGGAGTTTCTACCTCTCTGTTCGGTTTTTTGTTTTAGTTTCTTTCCATGTGGGGTTTGTTTTGTTATGCCTACCTTTCTGGGTGCCTAACCCTGGTCGATGGCAGATAAGGAAAACCCCTAACCACAAGTGGGTTTTCCAGGTGCCATTGCTCCCTGAAACCTGTCTGAAGGGGCCAGGCTCTGGTGCTGGTCCCTGGTAGGTCTGAACTCAATAGCTAATGTCCTGGTCTAATATAACATACATTAGTCCGATCAGCTCCAGGGAGCCTCCGGGGCTCACCCAGAAAATGGCGTTTCATTACATTCAATGCTGTTTTTTTGCTAATGTCTTAATAGTCTCTTTCCACTCAATCACAATATGTTGATATGTTATATATTATCTGCAGGTTGAGAGCCTGAATCTTCCCAAAGTTGAAGATGAAAGGATTAAGGAAAAAGTGCCCTCAAATGATGCAGAGGAAAATATTTCTCCAGCTGAGCTGTCACTCATGAGGAAGGTGATGAGAAAAGGGATTAAAGAAACTAAGAACAATGTTGAGGTCTTGCGCAAGGATCCTAAAAATCCCCTCTATTGTGTCAAGACTTTTGAAGAGCTTAACTTACGGAAGGAGCTCTTAGAGGGGATATATGAAATGGGATTTAAGCTTCCCTCAAAGATTCAAGAAGTCTCGCTTCCAACTCTTCTAGCTGAACCGTAATTATATAGTCTGGTTTTTATATATTTTTTTATTTTCAGTATTCACTATCTTAATAGACCTTACCCGCCAAACAAACAATGACTGTACGAAGTTGTTACAACATTCGAACAAGAACACCTTCTAACAAGTTGTAACAATTATCAAATAAGTTGTAACAATTATCAAATAAGTTGTAACAATTATCTAACATGTCATAAAACTTTATAACAAGATGGAACAACTTTACAACATGTAATAAGGTAATAATAGTAACCATTATGTTGTGTGCTTGCAGGGTAGATGCTCTTTATAATTTGTAATAGTACATTTTCAGCTCTTATTTTTGCTTAAAGTTCAGATGATTTAGCCGATTCATACAAACTCTGCAGGATAGAATTCTTGGATCTATGAAAAAACCTTACCCCTCAAAGTACATCTGTCTTCAAAGTTGTCACCCTGATTGTGAGCCCCCAAAAATGTCATACCAAAATTTTGGCCAGGTCATTGGTTGACATTCCTTCTGGCGTTCGTCAGCTTTACATTGTGATGAGAACCAGGACCAAACAAAAAATACTGTTGATTTTTTAAATTAACTATATTGAAAAGTAAAGAATATATGTGCAAAAACAAAAAGACTAACAAAATAAATAAACTGTCTATTGTCCAGTGAATTTCTTTGTTGGCCAGGTCAGTGAAGTCATCCACATATGTTTATATGGGGACCAGGAACTGAAGACTGTCTAGCTCCTATTTATTATGTGGCCTCCCATGACTGCTGGGAAATACTATTGAGCTGTTGAACCATATGGGCAGCATTTATATTTAAGCACTCGCATAAAATATAGATCTTCATTTGACAATGATAGCATATTTTGTTGTAAAACTAATTATTGTGGGGGAGCCCCTTTGGCTCCCTGGAGCTATTGGGCTAATGTGTGATATATTAGACCGGGGCATTAGCTATGGAGTTTGACCTACCAGGGACCATAGGCCAGAACCTGGCCCCTTCAGAGGTTGCAGGGAGCAGTGGCCCTGGAAAACCCACCTGTGGTTGGGGTTTTCCTTATCTGTCATTGACCGGGGTTAGGCACCCAGAAAGGTAGGCATAACAAAACCTAACCTCCGTCATGCTGCCTTTTGGGTCAACAACACCTTTGACCCGGAGTCTTGCGAGTCGTGTTCTCTGCTTGTTCTCCAGTATTATTCTGATGATATTACTGTTAGGGTACAGGCGGCATCCGCATTGCATGCTAGGATTAGGTTGCTGCAACGCGCTAGGTTGGTTTTTCACCCGGGTGCCCCACAGCTGCCCTGCTTTGGTTATAGGGACCCGGACCTGGGGGCGTTAGTTGCTTTGACTTTGATTCAGTCCACGCTTCCTGGTCCTTTTCCTGTTGTTCATCCTGCATCTCATCCCATGCTTCTGGCTCCCAAACGTCTAAGGGTTTCAGAGTTGGAGCAGGGTTTAGTTGGTAATGAGACTCGGGCAGCTATGGGGGCTGCCCCATTCGGGTTGGGGACGGAGGCATTCGAGCTGGTTATTCCTGCCGAGGCTTCTGGGTCTCGCCAGCAGGTCCCCTTCTTGTCAACCTTTTCCCTGGACTCTGGCTTTTCTTTAGGAGTAGAGGGTTTGGTGGAAGACTGCTCAGACTGTCCCGACTTGGGAGATCCCGGGGCTGGGAAGGAGTCGACCTGGGGTTCTTGGGGGGGGGGCCCCCCTTTGACCCTGCTTGGGTGCTAGTGCCCTCCGCAGAACACTTGTTGCAGGGGTAGGGGTTTTCTTACCCCCCCTTTCCCTGTATGAGTATGATTTGGGGTCCTTCCCGGGTTTGGTTCCAGGCCTCTTTGGGTACCTCGGTCCCGTCTTTCCGGAGGTTTTCTGCCTCTTGTATCTCTGCAAAGGAGGTTTGGAGGCTCTTCCTGCATACCTCTTGCGAGATCTGGATTCCACCTTTATTATGGATCCGTCCTATTTTGAGTTCAGTTCTTCTTCCCCTTATTGGGTGCGTTTGGAGGCTCTGGAGCCTAACTGGCTTGCAGACTGCCCTTTCTTTTCGTTGGTGCATTACATGGGTAGTCGGTCCCGCACGCCTGAGTGATGAGAAATGTCTACCATTCTGCAGGTTTACTTGAGGAGCGAGTTTGAGTGCCTTAGAGAGAGAGAGAGAGAGAGAGAGAGAGAGAGCGTGAGAGAGAGAGAGCGTGAGAGAGAGAGCGTGGGAGCGTGAGAGAGAGAGAGAGCGTGAGAGAGAGAGAGCGTGAGAGAGAGAGAGCGTGAGAGAGAGAGAGCGTGAGAGAGAGAGAGCGTGAGAGAGAGAGAGCGTGAGAGAGAGCGTGAGAGAGAGAGAGAGAGAGAGCGTGAGAGCGTGAGAGCGTGAGAGAGAGAGCGTGAGAGAGAGAGAGCGAGAGAGAGAGCGTGAGAGAGAGAGAGAGAGCGAGAGAGAGAGAGTGTGTGAGAGAGTGAATGAGTGTGTGTGTGTGTTTTTTGGGGGTGGGGGGGGGGGGATGATGCTGAACAAGGAAGTGATTTCATCTGAACATTCTCCTCCTACAGGCCAGTCAACATGATAGCTCAGTCCCAGTCAGGCACAGGCAAGACAGCAGCATTTGCCCTGGCCATGTTGAGCCGCATTGACACCTCCAGAAAATGTTGCCAGGTACCTCCCATAATATTTGTCTGTCAATTGTTTCCCTGATTTCATGAATAATGGTCAAGATTTCTGAGTAACACATTTGTGTCAATTATATTTTCTGTGGGGGAAGCCCCATCGGCTCCCTGGAGCTATTGGACTGATGCATAATTAAGGCAAATGGAGCAATGGCCTATAAAACTGTCATGTATAAAAGTTTTCATTTCCGCCATTGACTGTGGTTGAGCACCCTGAAAGGTAGGCACTTCAAAACAGACTCCTGGTAGAAAATTACAACCTGAGACCGAACAGAGGCTAGAAACTCCCTCAAAGAAAAACAAGCTAACAGGCAATACGTCATCACACCACATGCCGCTCATTTGTGCCTCCCCCCCCCCTCCCCCAGAGGGGGTGCCAGTCCACCGAGCTGGCAGCCAGGCTGTTAGTTTGTCGCGTGAAGCTAAACGTGTGGTTTTGTTTTCCACGCTTTGGGGGGTAGGGGGCTTGGTTTCTGGCCCTGCACACCATTTTGAGTTCTTGTGGGTGTGCGGGATTCTCCGACCACTTATCTTCTCTGTTGCCTGATTCTTGCGTCCTGCTCTATCTCTTCCCTTGGGGACTTTTGGGTGGTGGTCTTCTCCCTTAGTTTTGTGTCTCCAAACTGAGGTTTCTAGTTTTCCTTTCTGGTGGACATCTTTTTTGTTCATGGTTTCCTTGCCCGCTCTATCAACCCGGCTCTCAAGCCTTCGGATATTCTCCGTACATTGTCTGTGTTAACAGTGGGGCTCATTTTCTGTGTTCTTGTGTGTTCTGCAGTTGCGACCTCTAAATGACATCAGATCGTTTACATCAAAAAGTCTCGGATCACATTCCCCTTTTAGTAAGCCCTGGCTCTTCCAAATCCTCCCCACTATAAACTAGGAAAAGGAAAATAATAAGTTACATCATTGGTTAAACAACATAATATGTCGTGCAGACGACGCCACCTCCCTCACCAAAATGGCGGCTCCCAACATACTCCTATTGCTGTTTATACCCTCTATACACACATTATATATAAGTATCTACATTTGTGTTCACCATAGCGAACCACTAAGCTGGTATGGTGAGTGCAGTCAATAAAAGGTGGCCACACACAGTCAGAAGACAACGCCACCACCCTCCCTCCCACAGCATTACTCCTCCCTCCATGGAGCACAGCGCTAAATATCACCACAATCTTGCTATTATCAGAATAGTCTCCAGTCTCTCAATAGTTTACAGTCTCCGTGGTGTAGTGGTAAGACACTCGCCTGGCGTTCTGCGAGCGCTATGTCATGGGTTCGTATCCTGGCCGGGGAGGATTTACTGGGCGCAATTCCTTAACTGTAGCCTCTGTTTAACGCAACAGTAAAATGTGTACTTGGATGAAAAAACGATTCTTCGCGGCAGGGGATCGTATTCCAGGGACCATAGAATTAAGGACTTGCCCGAAACGCTACGCGTACTAGTGGCTGTACAAGAATGTAACAACTCTTGTATATATCTCAAAAAAAAAAAGAACCCTGGTCAGTTTTATCACAATCAGGGATCTTCTGTAATAATATCATCGCTACATAATAGCATGAACAAGTATATTATGGCATTTTTAGGCAATGCTGTGGTCACAAGCTGAACAGCAGTGCTGTGAGCTCATGCTGCGTGCATCAGGCTTGGTAGCTCACTCAATACTGAGGCCCCTAACACCCGGGAATTTGGCCCACGATTCTTTTTTTAAATGGCGTCTGATTACAAGAGCCCTGATGAAGGTGTGATGAACCCCGTGTATCCGCGGGCCGTTTAAATCTTGCGTAGTACTCCAAAGCATCATATGATGCAATGCGCAATTTACTGCAAGTCGGTCAAAGCATCATATGATGTGATGCGCAACTAAAGGGTTAAATGTAATGAAATGCCAATTTCAGGATTAGCCCCAGTGACTTCCTGAACCCTCCCTTTCCCAAAGTGCCTGGGTGGTTTCCATAATAAAAACTTGTGGTGGAGCACCCGGCTGACCTGGTCTACCTCCCTCCTTTCCCCAAACGAGGAGTGGGGGAGAGAGAGATGGGGCTAATTAGCTTGCACTAGTTTCACAAATTTTCTATAGTTTCTTTACATTGTTGGGGGAGTTCTTTTTTGACTGTTTTGAGGCTGTGGTCTGGTTTCTAACCAAGCAGTGGTCTTTTTTGTTTTGCTGAATTTCTTGGTTCTTTCCCTTGGTGGTATCATACATTATTTATTTATTTATTTATTTATTTATGCATATACAAGAATGTACATAAGGAATGTGAGGATACAATTATGGTAATTACAGTCTTGTAAAGCCACTAGCACGCGCAGCGTTTCGGGCAGGTCCTTAATCTAAGAAAATTTTAAGGAGGTAAATACTTGCAAAATTTATAGACAAAAAAATGATAACAGATTACATGGAATGAAAAAAAAAAAAAAAAGAGAGAAAATTATAGGTACAGTATATTAAAGCACATAGGTAGCTATGATTGATTGCAATGACAGCTTAAAATGGTAGTTGACAACAAATTGGTAGGCACAATACAGCAGAAACAATATAAGATTGATTGCAATGACAGCTTGAATAGTAGTTGACAAAAATTGGTAGTCACAATACAGCATATGGCTAGCACATAAAAGAAGACAGCAATGAACACAATGATAAGGTTGTTTGATATTACATAAAAATTAGGAGATTGGGTACCACTAGGTACAGAGCAAATTTAAAGCTCGGTGTAGGAAACTAAATAGATGAAGTTAGGTACTTTTTGGTTTTGCTTTTAAATAAGGCAAAAGTTTTACAGTTTTTCAATTCACTAGGGAGTGAGTTCCATAGACTAGGTCCCTTAATTTGCATAGAGTGTTTACACAGATTAAGTTTGACCCTGGGGACTAGTTTGACCCTGGGGACTTTCTTAGTTATGTGTTGAATGTGGGTGCTGAAGTTGAGTCTCTTGTCTAGGAATAGGCCAAGAAACTTGCCATCATTTTTATTACTGATGTTAATGTTGTCTATCTGTAGCTGAATTGCATTTGATGATTTGCTTCCAAATAAGATGTAGTAAGTCTTTTCGATGTTTAATGTTAGTTTGTTCGTTGACATCCATAAGTGGACTTTTTTTAATTCATTATTCACAACATTATTTAGTGTATGTGGGTTGAGGTTTGAGTAGATAAGGGTAGTATCGTCAGCAAACAATATAGGTTTGAGAATATTAGAGACATTAGGCAGATCGTTTATATATATAAGAAATAGAAGAGGTCCTAAGATGCTGCCCTGTGGCACTAATAAATTTACATAAAATTGTTCATAGTGCCACTGCTCCCTGTTCCTTTCTGAGGGGACCAGGTTCTTTTTGCTCATGCAGAAAGAACAAGAAAGTTTGCTCATAATCCCCAGTATACCTGGTTACCTGGAGAGGGGTTTCAGAAGTTCTTCTACTCCCTGAACCTGGCCTGGGGCTAGGCGTGACAATAAGAACTTCACTACTGATGGCACCTTGTAGTTTGGCACTGTATCATGCAGAAATTGGCATTTCATCACATTCACTTCTAGTTTTTCACTTATTTAATGTAAGTAATTGGCAAGTGTTTCCATATTGAATTGGTATAAAACTATAAATCATTTGAAATGATTTCAGAGAAGTTAATGTTAACTAAATATTTTGTTTAAAATACCATCCCACACTGACACTTTTGTGTAAATAAAAGGAATGGCTATTGATGATCATAATTTTTAGGCTCTGTGCTTGTCACCAACTATGGAGCTGGCATTGCAAACACTGGACTGTATCAAGCAGATGGGTAATAAATGCAAGGACATCACCATTCGCTCTGCTGTTAAAGGAGAATCAGGTAAGAAGAATTTTTGTGATTCTATATACTCCTTTATTTGTAATTTGAACACACATGTGCTGGTGCATTTTGTGTTAATACTTTTTTGGGGGGGAGCTCTGTCAGCTCCCCGGAGCTATCCAGGTTGATATGTAACTATTAGCTTTCTGGTATGAGTCAAAGTGCATGGAGTTTTTGCCTACCGGGGACCATGAGCCAGAACCTGGCCCCCCTCAGAGAGGCACGATGAGCAATGGCCTGTAGAAACCCCCGTGTGGTTGGAAGCATTCTATATCTGTCATCGACTGGGTTTGGCACCCAGAAAGATAGGCGCCCCAAAACAAACCCCTATTCTGTGAAAATATTGCTACCGAAAGCCGAACGAGTGGACAGAACGCCCCAAATGAAAACTAGCAACTAGTATGACATCATCATGTCGTCATGCCGCCGTCTGTGCACCCCCCCGGAGGGAGAAGGGGGGAGCCTACAGACCCTTCAGAGGGGGAAGGGGGCGCCCCAAACCCCCTGCACTGGTGATCCAACTGGCAGTTCTTGGCTGATGTGATACTGGTTGGTTGGGTGCATCTGACTCCAGTTTTGTTTTCAGTTACTGCACCTTGTGGCATGGTCTGTCTCTACAGGTGGTGTGAGAGCCAGGAGTAATATTCTGTTGTACTCGGGCTGCATGTGCCTAGGGTTTACTTTCCTAGGTGCCCTGTAAGTACTGCCCTTGGGGCTTGGGGCCACTTTCCACAAGTCACCTTGGGGTCTACCTCCGCTGTGTCTTTGTCCTTGGAGTCAGCTGGGGTCTTGTTGCCGTTGTTTACCTCTGGGTAGGAGGTAGTTTTTGTCACTGGTAGGGGCACAGAGTGCTGCACAGCTACTTATAACCTATTATAGCGGCCGGCTCTGTTCTGCTTGATTACGTTGTCCTCTTGTGGGGTTTTTCTTTTGTTTTTTTCCTGCCAGGTGGGGATGTCTGCCTTTGATTGATTACCCCCTCTTTGTTTTAGGGTCCTTCTCTTATATATATAGGTGTTTTGGTGGTACCCCTGCTTGGAACCCAATGAGTGGACACGTCCCAGGGTTCAGCTTTTCAAGTTTGCTTGGTAGGTGCGACACACTTTGTGCTGAGGTCTGACAAAGGACAAGAAAATAAGATTGTATAAAAACTTCATCATGGATATATTCGGATATATCTCTAACCACATTATATACAATATATTACATGTATATATATTAAGGCATTGTACATAAGAACAGTTATATATATATATATAGAAAGACACTGCGACCATGACATGGTCGTCACTTGTCCGATGGTTCTTCCCACGTATAGATCATCCACTTTTCCGTAATTAGTACCACTATTCGGAAACTGTGTGTTACCTCAACGCCGACCTCTAACTATCAAAGGCGGTGCCTTCCACGACCTCAGACGTCTACCATGCCGCTAGGTCCTCACGTCCGTTTCCTTTGGTGAGGGTGGAGCATACTGGAACAGTTGGGTCAGTTGGTTAAACATCCGAAAGCGACGACAGCATGTTGACTGAATGAGGGGAGTAGATGTCTATTTCTCCACATGCTCCGGCCAGCACTCGTTACCTCACCCGGTGGTTCTGATTGGCTAACAGAAATTCCCGCCACCGGACGAGCCATACCGTGCTGACCGTTAACGACCTCCATGGTTGTTAACCTCGTTCTTCCTGTAATTATGAACGTATTACTATTAAATAATCGTGCCTTTATGCGATGAAATAACACGATACGATATTTCATAACAAGATATAGCTCCGTTGCTCAAGGGGGGGGAAGGGGGGGAGTAAAGCCTTGGCAAAAAATTATAGGCCAGTTGCACTAACATCACACATAATAAAAGTGTTTGAAAGAGTGATTAGGAATCAAATTTCTAGTTTTATGGAAAACAATGAGTTGCACAACCCAGGACAACATGGATTTAAAGCAGGAAAATCCTGTCTGTCACAGTTACTCAACTACTATGACAAAATCGCAGAAGCTCTAGAAGAAAAGCAAAATGCAGATGTTGTATACACAGACTTTGCAAAGGCGTTCGATAAATGTGACCATTTTTTTTTTTTTTTTTTTTTTTTTTTTTTTTTGAGATATATACAAGTTGTTACATTCTTGTACAGCCACTAGTACGCGTAGCGTTTCGGGCAGGTCCCTGGAATACGATCCCCTGCCGCGAAGAATCGTTTTTTCATCCAAGTACACATTTTACTGTTGCGTTAAACAGAGGCTACAGTTAAGGAATTGCGCCCAGTAAATCCTCCCCGGCCAGGATACGAACCCATGACATAGCGCTTGCGGAACGCCAGGCGAGTGTCTTACCACTACACCACGGAGACTGTTAAGACCATGTTTAGACCATGGGTTGATAGCACACAAAATGAGGTCAATGGGAATAACTGGAAAAGTAGGACGCTGGATACTCAATTTCTTGTCGAACAGAACACAAAGAGTAACCGTTAATCAAATAAAATTGAGTCCAAGCGAAGTTAAAAGTTTTGTACCTCAAGTTACAGTCCTTGCACCGCTACTGTTCCTTATTCTCATATCGGATATAGACAAAAATACACGTCACAGCTTCGTGTCATCCTTTGCAGATGACACAAAAATCAGCATGAAAATTACCTCTGCTGAAGACATTGAAAAATTACAAGCAGATGTCAACAAAGTTTTTGATTGGGCAGCAGAAAATAACATGATTTTAACAGTGATAAATTTCAGGTACGGCAAAAATGAGGATCTGAAACATAATACAGGGTACAAAACACAATCGAATCTTCCCATAGTAGAAAAACAGCATGTCAAGGATTTGGGAATAATGATGTTCGACAATTTAATGTTTAGGGAGCATAACCAAGCAAATATTGCGTCAGCCAGAAAAATGATCAGAGGGATTACGAGAACTTTCAAATCCAGGGATCTCACCACAATGGTTGTACTCTTCAAGTCACTTGTGTTGTCCCGTCTCGAGTACTGCTCAGTACTTACTTCCCCCTTCAGAGCAGGATAGATTGCTGAAATAGAGGGAATACAGAGAACATATACGGCACGCATAGACTAGATAAAACACCTAAATTATTGGGATCATCTCAAAGCTCTCCAAATGTACTCTCTAGAAAGGAGACGAGAGAGATACCAAATAATATACACATGGAAAATACTGGAGGGCCAGGTCCCAAATCTACACAGTAAAATAACAACGTACTGGAGTGAACGATATGGAAGAAAATGCAAGATTGAACCAGTGAAGAGCAGAGATGCCATAGGCACAATCGGAGAACACTGTATAAACATCAGAGGTCCGCGGTTTTTCAACGTCCTCCCAGCGACTATAAGAAATATTGCCGGAACAACCGTGGACATCTTCAAGAGAAAACTAGACTGTTTTCAAAGAGAAGTTCCGGATCAGCCGGGCTGTGGTGGATATGTGGGCCTGCGGGCGCTCAAAACAACAGCCTGGTGGACCAAACTCTCACAAGTCGAGCCTGGCCTCGGGCCGGGCTTGGGGAGTAGAAGAACTCCCAGAACCCCATCAAGCAGGTATCAAGCAGGTTCTGGTGGTAGGTTTGTTCGTTTGCAGCAGTCTCTCTCTCTGGCGATGAATGGGTCTGCTGTTTTCTGGAGGGGTCCTTGGGTTATTGATGCTTGGTTGATCGGGCCGAGGGTGCATCATGTGTTGTGTTTGGTTGTGGCTCTCTGCTGTTCTTTGCACGTCTTGGCCTCTGTGGCCATGGGGGCACTTTGGTTTCCCAGGTTCCCTTCCTTCCTTCCTGTTCCGGGGTTCGGGTCTTCCGGGTCGTCTGCGGGGTCCTTGGGTTTCCCAGTTGTCTTGTTTTTGAGTTTAGGGCGCGTGGCATCCGCCTTCCTGGTCCTTCCCTCTTTTCCTTATCTTTGATGAGGTTGCTCAGTGGAGCCAATGGGGCTTCCCCCAGAAAACCAGCGTTGAATGTAATGAAACGCCATTTTCTGGGCGAGACTCGGAGGCTCCCCGGCATCCCTCCCTCCCTCCCAGTCGGCGGTGTTTTCACAGGTTTTTTACATCCAACCTAAGAACTACCGTTTGGATCACCAGCGCAAGGGTCTAAGGCTCCCCTTTCCCCCCCTAACGGGGTAGAGTGTGGGGGGGGGGGTTCGCAGACAGCGGCACAACAACGTGAAGAGATCATGCTAGTTGCTAGTTTTCATTTAGGGAGCTCAGTCAACTCGTTCGGCTTTTGGTAGCAATATTTTCACTAGAATAGGGGTTTGTTTTGGGGTGCCTATCTTTCTGGGTGCCAGACCTGGTCGATGGCAGACACAGAATGCTTCCAACCACATGGGGGTTTCTATAGGCCATTGCTCCTCGTGCCTCTCTGAAGGGACCAGGTTCTGACTCCTGGTTCCTGGTTTAGCAAGAACTCCATGCACTTTGACTGATGCCAGAAAGCTAATTCAGTAGTTACATATCAGCCTGGATAGCTCCGGGAGAGCCTCCAGGGTCTCGCCCATTTTTCATTACATTTGTTTCATTACATTAAACGCTGGTTTTTTCAATGCTGCTCTCTCTTTTCAGTTTCCCGTGGGCAAAAAATCACTGAACATATTGTAATTGGCACCCCAGGGAAGGTAGTTGACTGGGTCACCAAATACAAATGTCTTGAGCTACGTAATTGCAAGGTTTTTGTACTTGATGAAGCTGATGTGATGATTGCTACTCAGGGTCATCAGGTACCTGATAGACTTCCACTCAAGTCTATAGACTGATGTATTTGTTATAAATTTTTGTATAATTTTTTCTAAACTATATTGCATATTAATTTGTCTAACAAATTCTTCAAAGTTAATCATATAGGAATAAGTTGATTAACTTTAATATTATACAGGACAATAACAGTGCACATTGTTTTCACAGGATCAGTCTGTCCGTATACATAAGCAACTTCCACAAAATTGTCAGATGATGTTGTTTTCGGCCACGTATGTTGATGAGGTTGTCACTTTTGCTGAAGCCATTATTAAGGATCCAGTGACACTCCGGTTAAAGAGGGAAGAAGAAACGCTGACAAATATTAGACAGGTAGGGAGAGCCCTTTTTTTGTTCTCCTAATTACTCGCCCAGTTGTGTTAACAAGTATCGAGCAATAGCTCTGCCATCCGTCATCTGGTTAGTTAATACAATAACTTTCATTCCTTCTGTTTCTCTGTTTATTTTGTGCTTTGCAGGGGCCAATTAAATTTGCTTAAAAATCACCTCTTTTATCCTGTTCTATTTACTTGCAACCTTACAGTGAAGTTTTCCTGGCATTTCTCCAGTTTAACCTTCTCACTAGCTTCCATCTTTACCCTCACCTGCTGCTATCTCTCATTTTGAACATTACCTCTTTGTCCACCTTGTGAATTTCCTCTAATATCTTGTATATTTTCATCATTATTTTGCTGATTTGCCTTTCTTCCAATGTGATATGATTGAGCTCATTCAACCTTTCACAGTATGCACGTCCATTAAGTTTGGGAGAAGTATAGCCATGTATCTGTACTTTCTCTATATTTTAGGCTTTTACAGATGAAGACTCATAAGGTGCTGCATACTTGAGAGTTGGTGTTGCATAAAGTTGTATATTGTGTTCTGAAGTCCTCATCCTCCAGGCTCTTGAAAGCTATCTGATGTGTGTTTCTCAGGTGACAGGTTTAATGTTATATCTTATCCCACATCATTCTCCTATTACTTTTTTTGACAGCTGCCTCATTGTGAACCCATATTGCCCTTCATTCCTTTATATAGCAGTTATTTTTAATTTGTTAGGGTTAAAGGTAAGCAACTATCTGGTCATTGATGATGCACATCTAGATCTCCCTGTGTTCCCTTACAATAATTTTTGTTTATAAATCTCATAAAATTTACATTTAAAAAATTGGATGTAGATTACATGTGCTTATTTCTTTTGCCAGGTCACTAACATATATCAGGAATAATGGGTCTCAATACTGCTCATTGATGCATGTCACTTGTAGCTTCTTGCTATCCTAACATTTCTCCTTTCATTACTACTATTGGAGAATACAGTAGTCTTGTCTATTCCCATTTGCATTTGTTATGACATTTTCTCCTCTGTATGCAAAAGATTTAGATGGGATTAAAATTACATTTTTTAAGTTAATTATGTACCTGGAATAGAGTGTAAGTTCCCAAGTTTCCATCATACTTATCACTATATATTTTCAGATGTATGTCGAGTGTCGTAATCAGGATGAAAAATATGAGGCTATTGCCAACATCTACACAATCCCGGTGGGCAGTGCAATGTTTTTCTGCCATACCAAGCAGAATGCTAATTGGTTAGCAACACGTCTTAAGGAAGATGGTCACCAAGTAGCGCTACTCACTGGTAAGGGGGGAAAGCAGCCAGTTAAATCATTCTCTCAAATAAATTTGTGCTAGAATAACATGGAAAAAAGCTACTGTGTGTGTGTGTGTGTGTGTGTGTGTGTGTGTGTGTGTATTCACACACACACACACCCCCCCACCCCCCAAAACCCAACCAACCAACTAGAAGACAGAAGAAAAAGAGGTGATATGATCACTACATACAAAATAGTAACAGGAATTGATAAAATCGACAGGGAAGATTTCCCGAGACCTGGCACTTCAAGAACAAGAGGTCATAGATTTAAACTAGCTAAACACAGATGCCGAAGAAATATAAGAAAATTCACCTTCGCAAATAGAGTGGTAGACGGTTGGAACAAGTTAAGTGAGAAGGTGGTGGAGGCCAAGACTGTCAGTAGTTTCAAAGTGTTATATGACAAAGAGTGCTGGGAAGATGGGACACCACGAGCGTAGCTCTCATCCTGTAACTACACTTAGGTAATTACACTTAGGTAATTACACACACACACACCCCTCCCCCCACCCACCCACCCACCCACCCACCCACCTACCTACCTCAGGAAGTACCTCAGGGTTCAATTCTTGCACTGGTAATGTTCATTGTCTCTATAAACGATCTACCAGTTGCAATACAGAATTATATGAACATGTTTGCTGATGATGCTAAGATAATAGGGAAGATAATAAATCTAGATTATTGTCATGCCCTTTAAGAAGACCTGGACAAAATAAGTATATGGAGCAACACTTGGCAAATGGAATTTAATGTGAATAACTGCCATGTTATGGGATGTGGAATTGGAGAACATAGACCCCCACACAACCTATAAATTATGTGAGAAATCTTTAAAGAATTCTGACAAAGAAAGGGATCTAGGTGTGGTTCTAGATAGAAAACTGTCATATTTACACTTCCTTACACAGGTTCCTGATGGCAGTTCTGATGTTAGCCAGCCTCGCATATGCCGCAGATGTTATTCTTTTGATGTGGGCTTCAGGAGACAGGTTTGGTGTGATATCAACTCCCAGATCTTTCTCTCTGTCCATTTCATGAAGGACTTCATCCCCCGTTCGGTATCTTGTGTCTGGCCTTCTGTTTCCACTGCCTAGTTTCATTACCTTACATTTACTCGGGTTGAACCTTAGTAGCCATTTGTTGGACCATTCATTCAGTCTGTCTGGGTCATCTTGTAGCCTCATATTATCTTCCTCCATCTTAATCCTCCTCATAATTTTTGCATCATCAGTAAACAATGAGAGGAATGATTCTATACCATCTGGAAGATCATTTACATATATAAGAAACAGTATGGGTCCAAGGACTGAACCCTGTGGGACTCCACTGGTGACGTCTTGCCAATCTGAGACCTCACCCCTCAGTGACTCGCTGTCTTCTGTTACTTAGGTACTCCCTTGTCCAATGGAGTACATTCCCTTTCACTCCTGCCTGCATCTCTAGCTTTTGCACTAGTTTCTGGTGTGGAATTGTGTCAAAGGCTTTCTGGCAATCCAAAAATATGCTGTCTGCCCACCCCTCTCTTTCTTGTCTGATGCTCGTTGCCTGATCGTAGAATTTAGTTAATTCACGTGTTACGTCATTCGTTTTGGTATCATCGTGTTCGCAATAGAATTTCCTACAGGTGTATATGCATATTAGGTCCAAAAGCCAAGTGTGACTCCCACAGCAAAGCCTAAAGTCAGCAAAAGTTACCCCTTGAGCGCACAAAATCAGTCAAATGTGTGTACTCATTTCAGTTTTCTCACCTTAATTCTCATGCTACGTGGCTTGTTTTGGTATCATTGTATTCGCAATTAAATTCCCTGCAGGTGTTGTATATGCATATATTGTCCAAAAGCCAAGTGTGACTCCCTTTAGCAAAACCTAAAGTTACCTGTGAACGAGCACCAATTTGCACAGTGCAGCCAAATGTGTATACTCGTTCAGTTTGATAACATCAATTTTCGTGTTACGTTTTTCATTTGGGTATCAAATTGTTTGCAATAAAAAGGCACATATTTTAAAACTAGTCTCATAATAATTGAGCAATAACTAGAATTTTAACAAATATTTTAATTTGGGACGCTCATCATCACAAAATTATTTATATCTTTCCAGTGTTCTGACATAAATTTTTGTGCTACATCTTTCATTTTGGTATCAAATTGTTTGCAATCTAAAGGTGCACATTTTAAAACCAGTCCCATAATAATAGCACAATAAATAGAATTTTAACATATTTAAAATTTTTGACCAAAAACCTATTTATAATCTTTTAAGTCTTCTGACATCAAGTTTTATGTTACATCTTTTATTTTGGTATCAAATTGTGCGCACTCTAAAGGTGCTCATTTTGAAACTATCCCCAAGTCGATCGGATAAAAAATGAATATTATACAAATATTTTTGTATTGGACGCGAGAACAGTCCACTGCTCGGATTCAAGAGAAAAAAGTGGACGCGAGCAGTGTCCATAGTGTTAATCCTGTGAGGCATGACTTGCCATCCCTGAAACCATGTTGGTGTTGTCACAAAGTTCCTTTGCTCCAGATGTTCCACTAGTTTTTTTTTTTTTTGCACAATTTTCTCCAATAACTTGTATGGTATGCAAGTTAGGGATACTGGCCTGTAGTTCAGTGCCTCCTGTCTATCCCCCTTCTTGTATATTGGGACTATGTTTGCCGTCTTCAAAGTTTTTGGCAGTTGTGTTGTGTCCGGTTGCGGCTCTCTGCCGTTACCCGAGCGGCACAGCCTCTGTGGCCGGGGATGCACTTTGGGTTGACCCGGTTTCCCTTCTTCCCTGTTCCAGGGTTCGGATCTCCCAGGTTGTCCGCAGGGTTATTTGGTCCAGCCAGCCTGTGGTCTATCCCCGAGCCCATGACGTTTGTAAGGTTGCTGCACTGGTTGCCGTCTTGGGTAACATGTCTTGGGCTGACATTTGGGCGCGGGGTTTTTGAAGGTCAAACAGGGTCCTGGCTGCTTGCTACCTTGTCACTGTTCCTGGGCCTAGTCGGGCCTGTGTCGAGTTGGGTCGGCGGTTGCAGCCAGTTGTCTCAACTTTGAGTTGAGGAGCGAGTGCCAACCGCCTCCCGGGTAAGTTCCTTTTGTTTTTGTCTTTGGGTAAGTAGCTCCAGGGAGCTGAAGGGGCTCCCCCCAGAAAACCAGCTATGAATGTAATGAAATGCCATTTTCTGGGTGAGACCTGGAGGCTCTCCCAGCAACCCTCCCTCCCTCTGGTCGGTGGTTTTTGACATCCTGTCTCAGAACCGCAAGATGGATAACCAGCACAAGGTCTGGGGCTCCCCCTTTTCCCTCCTGGGGATGGGGGAGCCCTGGAGTTGTGCAGACAGCGGCACGGTGACGTCATGCTCATTTGCTCGTTTTCATTTGGGGAGTTCTGTCCACTAGTTCGGTTTTCAGTAGCAATTTCTTAACAAGAATAGGGGTTTGTTTTGAGGCGCTTACCTTTTTGGGTGCCTGACCCAGTTGATGACAGACATAGAATGCTTCCAACCACATGGGGGTTTCTATAGTCCATTGCTCCTTGTGCCTCTCTGAGGGTGGCCAGGGTCTGGCTCGTGGTCCCCAGTAGGCCTAAGAACTCCATTCGCTTGACTGATGCCAGGGTCTAATACATTCATATCAGGCCGGTTAGCTCCAGGGAGCGTCTGGGGAGCCTCCAGGTCTCGCCCAGAAAATGGCATTTCATTACATTTAACGCTGGTTTTTAACTGATTGATTTCAAAATTTTGGGCTAAAATAGATTAAAACTAAGAAGAGGCAATCCCACTATGATAGTTGTTTTTGTTTTATATTGATATTATGTTTATTAAGCTGTTTTTAAAGTGTTTTCTATGTCAGGTGACCTAACACCTGACGAGCGAGTCCGAGTGTTACTTCGCTTCCGCGAGGGAACTGAAAGGGTGCTCATATGTACCAACGTTCTGGCCCGAGGGATTGACGTTGACACAGTAAGTTGAATATTTACCTGTAGTGTACATTGCCTTTTGTAATTTAATTCAGAAACATTAGTTGTATTTATAAACAATATATCATGTTTAGTATCAAGAATTTTTTTTTTTAGTCCCCTAAGAGGTGCAGCTAATAATAACCAACAGCAGCGCTGTGTGCAAGAAAAAATTATAAATTTCTTTTTCCGGGGGTTCCCTGAAGAAATCACATTAATTAATTAACACTTTGATGCTCTGGGCGCACATGCTCCACATTACCCAGGGTGGGTTTGGGCATTCCTCGGGAGCGCGCGGTAATTCTGAAAGGTGTATAATCTTTTCAAATTTGTTACCTCAATTCTCGTCCTATGTTTTTCAATTTGGTATCATTGTGTTCGCAATAGAATTCTCTACAGGACTAAAGGCATATTAAGTCCAAATACCCAGCGTACTATCCGCAACAAACAGAGGAAGTGAGAACATGTTACCCGGGAGCGCGCAGAACCGATAAAATGTGTACACTCCTTTCACTTTGGTCACCGCAATTCTCGTCCTAGGTCTTTCATTTTGGTATCAATGTGTTCGCAATAGAATTCTCTATAGGACTAAAGGCATATAAAGTCCAAACGGTCGGTGTACCATCTGCAACAAACAGAGAAAATGAGAGCGTGTTACCCGGGAGAGTGGCTTAAGAGCGATAAAATGTTTACATTCCCTTCACTTTGGTCACCTCAATTCTCGTCCTAGGTCTTTCATTTTGATATCAATGTGTTCGGAATAGAATTCCCAACAGGAATATATGTATATAATGTTAAAAACAGCGGCGCGCTCCACCCGCTGACAAGATGAAAGTTACCAGAAAGAGAACGCTGCTCCACCCCACTCGCATTACAATAGAGAGTGCGGTCATACCAAAATATGTATACTCTCTTCAACTTTGTCATCTCAATTCTCGTCCTAGGTTTTTCAATTTGGTATCAATGTGTTCGCAATAGAATTCTCTACAGGACTAAATGCATATAAAGCCCAAAAGCCTGGCGAGAAAGTGAGAGCCTGTTACCCGGGAGCGAAAAGAGCAATAAAATGTGTACACTCTTCACTTTAGACATCTCAATTTTCGTCCTAGATTTTTCATTTTGGTATCATTGTGTTTGCAATAGAATTCCCTACAGGAGTATATGCAAATATAAAGTCCAAAACCCCGGCGTCCCACCCACAGCAAACAGGGAGCGTGACAGTGCGTTACCGCAGTGAGCACTAATAAATAGCAATAAAATGGGTATACTCTTTTAAACTTTGTTACCTCAATTCTGGCCCCAGGTCTTTCATTTTGGTATCATTGTATTCACAATGAAATTCCCTACAGATGTATATGCATATAATGTCCAAAACTGCGGCACCCCCCTTCCGAAGCCGCCGCCAATATGCCGCTGGAAACAACGCAGCATTGCGTTGTTACCGGACTACCCCCGAGTAAAAAAACTTAAAAGTTAGTGTTAAGTGCCATACTGCTTGGAGTCATTAGTCGCAGAGTTTATTTTGAACTACCAGAGGCCAGTTTGCCTACCAGAGACCAAGAGCCAGAACCTAGTCCCATCAAACCCAGGGAGCAATAGCCCGTGGACACTTTACATTTAAAGTTTATCATCTTTGCCATCATCCAGGGGAAGCACCCAAAAAGGTAGGCGAATCAAAACCAAAACAATCACTGCATGGTTGAAAAATGAGACTGCAGTCTCCAAAATGTCAAAAGAACTCTCCCAATAATAAAACAAACAACCAAAACTTCTTTAAACCAGCCCCCTCACTGGTTAGCGCCACCGCCCCCTCATTTGGGGGAGGAGCTAGCCGGTCCAGGTCAGCCGGGCCTATACTGGTCAGTGCTATAATGATGAAAAAAAAACACTGACCTGAGGGAGGAAGGGTGTTAAGGGAGCCTCTGAGGCTCACCCAGAAACTGGCATTTCATTACATTCAACAGTGGTTTTCTGAGGGAGGCCTCATCTGCTCCCTGAAGTTAGCTACCCACAGAGAAGGACAAAATAGGGGGATTTACCAGGGAGGCAGAAGCACAGCAGGTATCAAGTCGAAGGCGAGACCAACGACCGCAACAGATGCCCCAGGGCTAAACAAGATCACAGAGGACCAGGAATGTTAACAAGATATCTGGCAGCCAAGACCTTGTTAAACCACCAAACCCTGTGCCCAAATATCAACCCAAGACATGTTACCAAAACTGCTGACAATGTGGCGTACTTTTGAACAGCATGAGCACGAGAGTAGACCATAGGCTGGCTAGGTTTGATGACACTGCGGACAACCTGAGACACGAATCCTGGAACAGGGAACCAGGGAAACAGAGTCGACCTGCAACAAATCCACCGAAACAGAACTGATTGCTTGTAAGTAGCAGCGCAAAGCCTCCACCGGACACTGCTCATGATGCACCCCCAGCTGAATCAACCGAGTATCCACAACCAAAGGACCCCTCTAGACTATAGATTCACAATGCTCTTAAGAAAAGACCCGAACCAACTACTTTTTACTTAACATGATTGCTGAAGTAATGGAGATAGTTGCCTGTATGTGTATCTTTCTTGTACAAGGTGAAGCTCAGCGAGGTGTTACTCCTTATTACCGAGATTTCTAGAAAGGGTAATTTATCATCAGACCCCCGTTCAACTTCAAATTTGATACTGGGGAGTAGCGTTCAGCCTCTCAAAGTACTCGGAGAAGGCCCCCCAGCTATCCTTCCAACGTATTTGTACCAAATCATGTCTTGAGAATTAATCTGAGAGAGGATACATGTAAAAATACTCCATATACAGGATAGATAACACTGGAGATAAGGGACTACCTATACTACAACCATATTTTTTATGGTTAAAACGGTTTTGAAATGAAAATACATTACGATAAGCACAACCATGTTAATTCTATTATCTTAGTTACCAGTAAAGTCAAAGTTTCTTGGTAAGGTTTCAATTTGTCCTCCAGGAATACTAAAACATTGTTAACATTAACTTTAGTGGCAAGAGAGTCAACATTCAAGCTTAACAGCTTTCCATTACTACAGTTCAAGTTACAAATTTTATTTATAAAGTTTTCGGAGTGTTTAATGTGCGAGTTAAAGAAGTGACCCAGGAAAGGGGCTTTTGCTCATACCTTGAGGTTATCTTGTACCATGATTGTACCTACTTAGTAAATTCTAAAGAATGTTGCACAAGTTTGTGTAACTGTAGATGGATCAGTACTAAAAGGATCAATTACAAGTGTTGCTGGGAATAGTTTCAATTTGTCACCCTTCGTTATAAAAAGTATAAACTATCAAGCAGTGAATTGATAAATGGAGTACAGTATTGTGTATAATTATTTGCTCGCATATGCTACGATACTTACTTTTTTTTATATAAATTTTGCCATTTGGTTTACTGATATTTGTTATATATTTGTATAGGAAAATGAGTGTAAACTTAACTTTGTTATTCCAGGTTAACTTAGTGGTCAACTATGATCTTCCTCGATTGTATGGGTCGAAGAGGGCAGACTGTGAGACGTATTTGCATCGAATTGGCCGTACTGGTCGCTTTGGCAAGACAGGCAATGCAATTAATATTGTAGATGGTGAGGATGATGTGCGATTACTAAGAGAAATTGAGGAGCACTTCAGTGAGTACTACCAAGACTTGATGTTTTCACAGGTTTAAAAATAAAATCATTTAATACTTTTTCTTATGCACTTGAATTATATGTTTTCAGATCTGCAGCAATGAATGCACATTATTATTTTTCCATGTCTTTATGTGACCATTACTTCATGTATAATTTTTCATTGCAGATATAAAAATTATCAAGCTGGACTACAACAACATTGATGAAATTGAGAAGCTTAGTGAGGACTAAAGTGACAACATGCATGATGTATTTATTCAGTACCGTATAATATTTCACATGTAAATTGCTTGTGATTTCAGTCAAACCTAATTGTGGATATAATCTGCCAAGTTTTGTTTTAAACATGATAATGTATTGGGCATTATTTATCATCTTACTGTGCAGTGAAAAAATGGCAGCAGATAACTAAACCTGGACACAGTGCAGCACATTAACAAAAATTTCAGCACCAGAACTTCACACTTCCTGGATGTATTCATGAAAACACAATATAACCCACAAATTCTAATTGCAGTTAACAAACCATGACTTGATAAAGCTCATGAAAGTTTGATAGAAAAATTATGATATATACTTGTCCAATATTTACTATTTACTGAAGGATTAAGCCTGATGTATAGCCCTTTGAAAGGCAGAGAACAGTCACAGAGACTTAGGGATGGAGGTGGGGGGGGGAGGAAGGTATGTTTGCAAATATATATTAATACACTGACAAGTATATTTCATTGCAGGTGAATAAGCTTTATTATTAAACACTCCTTTGTACATTCTTAAAATAAATATTATTTAAATTATTTATCTTACGGTAACTCATAATTTATAATGCACATAGAAATTATTTAGTATAGTAATTATATGCTTAAATCGCACTATTGTACCCCAATTTGCATGATGTTGGTCATTGCATGGCTATGTTTCTTCATAACTTTCATCACTGAACTGCATCTATCACATGTAATAATACAATAAACTCTCCTGGCATTTCTGTAAAACTACACATTACCTTATGTAAAGATTTGTGTTGCTGAAATTAAAGAATATTTGTATTTCGCAATACAATCATGTTATTAGAAGCAAGTTTGTGATGTATAAATAGTTATTACATTTTAAGTAATCATGGCCTTCCAAAAAGGTGCAAAAGTTATATTTTATGACTAGAAATAAAGATGTTAATTAATGTTGTTGAATCTGAATGTGCATCAAATCATGTTAATGATCATTCCAGAATGAATGATCTACAAGCTGTGCTTTATATTTGTGATGTATGCATCATACCCCAAAGGTGTCCTGGTACTGTAAAAAGTCATTAGGTAAGATATGACTTGTGCGATTCATAATTTTTAATTTTGATGAAATGGCAGATGAATTTTCCTTTTTTTTTCTCACTTCCAAGTAGGGAGACAATTGGCTCTCATGATAATAGGTATTAATAAGGATATTAATTTTGAAGCAATAATGTATTTTTCTCGATAAAATAAATTTATGGCAGATAATAAAATATTGTCTCGTGTCTCCGTGACTGGGCTAGAAAGCTCAGATAATGTTAGCCTGGCCACCATAACAATGCTGACAGAAAATTTGTAAGTTACCTTGATAAGGAAACCTAAATCTTAGGCTGTGCCTCAAACATGTTTTTATTTCTTCAGACATATTATTACTAGGTTTGTCCTTGAAACTCAAAAGTCCTACTAGTTTTTGCATTTTAAATACACACAAAACTCCTCTATTTGATGTTAGTATGTACTGTATATGAAAGGGCCTTTAGACTCCTCAGACTGAGGACTTTTGTCTATAATGTAAGGATATGCTGAATATTGTACAATGAAGAAACAAACTGTGATAAGTATCAAAGTGGACATATTTTTGTTCTTTGTGCAAATTCTGTTTTAAAATGTCCATGGTATATGCAGATTAGCTGCCAATTTCCTTGAACTATAAACTTAGGATTGACAGTAAAATATATTCAAAGATATAATATGTATATAGTGTAAATATACATTTGTGAATTGAAAACCTGATTTACAGTAAGAAATAGTGTGATGGATATGTTGGTAATTTTGCGTGAGATTGGATGACAAGGTTTTTAAAGGAATTTGGCCATAATCTTGCAGTAATGTTAGTATTCATTGCATAGTCATATTGTTAAAAGACATTGTTACGTAGTGTAATATGGATCATTTTTAGTTTTACACTTTTATAAAAGACAAATGTTTATTATGATTGCTTTTGCTGCATTAGTTGAGAAATATCTTGCAAATTCATTATATTTAGACTGAGGTTTGTGTCATGCAATATATATATACACATAAAGATTGACATAAAGAAACAAATAGGTGATACACACTGAGTGCAGTGCATTACACTGATTGTGGCACAACAGTTCTTGTACCAGTATCAGGACCAGCTTAAGGACAGTCTACTCGGAAGACAGTGTTAAGTATTTTGTCTACAATTTGGAAAAATGTCATGTTAATATATAGTTTATAATGATTTTCTTTAAACTTATATGGAGTGTTATATAAGTGCTGCTGTATTTTAGATTCATATTTTTTAGCTGCTCAATGGTAACAAACCCATAAAATGTAAAAGGAGAAATAAATGATGATCTGCCTGCATTACTTTTTCATAACATTTAAATTCTCTCATAACCACATGCTGGTCATTTCACAAGGAAAACAACCATAAAGGAAAATCAAGATTTCTCAAATTTTTCCCACATTGACCTTAAGTTTGAAAAAAAGGCAGATTGAGAGGAATTTAAGGTAATTGCACGTATTGAAGTTTTAAATTACAACTTTTTATTCCGAAAATATGCAAATTAGCAAAGCGATTGGTCAGATTTTGCCCAAATTCTTTCGTCTCTTGCGATTTTTGCCCGCCAGCGGCGAAAATCGCATGGTTTTTGGCCGGTAGCGGCGAAATTTGAGCGGTTTTTGGCCAGTAGCGGCGAAAATCTCGCTATTTTTGGCCGGTAGCGGCGAAAATCGCGATTTTTGCCCGCCAGCGGCAAAAATCGCATGGTTTTTGGCCGGTAGCGGCGAAAATCGAGCGGTTTTTGGATAGTAGCGGCGAAAATCGCGCTATTTTTGGCCGGTAGCGGCGAAAATCGCGATTTTTGCCCGCCAGCTGCGAAAATCACATGGTTTTTGCGCAAAATAGCGCGGTTTTCGACCGTTAGCGGCAAAAATAGCCCGATTTTTGGCCGATAGCGGCAAAAATCGCGCTATTTTTGGCCGGTAGCGGCGAAAATCGCGATTTTTGCCCGCCAGCTGCGAAAATCGCATAGTTTTTGCGCAAAATAGCGCGGTTTTCGGCCGTTAGCGGCAAAAATAGCCCGATTTTTGGCCGCTAGCGGCAATAATCGCGATTTTTACCCGCCAGCTGCGAACATCGCATGGTTTTTGGCAGGTAGCGGCGAAAATCGCGCGGTTTTTGGCCGGTAGCGGCGAAAATCGCGCTATTTTTGGCCGGTAGCGGCGAGAATCGCGATTTTTTCCCGCCAGCTGCGAAAATCGCATGGTTTTTGGCCGGTAGCGGCGAAAATCGAGCTGTTTTTGGCCGGTAGCGGCGAAAATCGCGCTATTTTTGGCGGGTAGCGGCGAAAATCGCGATTTTTGCCCGCCAGCTGCGAAAATCGCATGGTTTTTGCGCAAAATAGCGCGGTTTTCGGCCGTTAGCGGCAAAAATAGCCCGATTTTTGACCGCTAGCGGCAAAAATCGCGCTATTTTTGGCGGGTAGCGGCGAAAATCGCGATTTTTGCCCGCCAGCGGCGAAAATCGCATGGTTTTTGGTCGGTAGCGGCGAAAATCGCGCGGTTTTTGGCCGGTAGCGGCGAAAATCGCGCTATTTTTGGCCGGTAGCGGCGAAAATCGCGATTTTTCCCCGCCAGCTGCGAAAATCGCTTGGTTTTTGGCCAGTAGCGGCAAAAATCGCGCGGTTTTTGGCCGGTAGCGGCGAAAATCGCGATTTTTGTCCGCCAGCTGCGAAAATCGCATGGTTTTTGCGCAAAATAGCGCGGTTTTTGGCCGTTAGCGGCAAAAATAGCCCGATTTTTGGCCGCTAGCGGCAAAAATCGCGATTTTTGCCCGTCAGCTGCGAACATCGCATGGTTTTTGGCTGGTAGCGGCGAAAATCGCGCTATTTTTGGCCGGTAGCGGCGAAAATCGCGATTTTTGCCCGCCAGCTGCGAAAATCGCATGGATTTTGGTCGGTAGCGGCGAAAATCGCGCGGTTTTTGGCCGGTAGCGGCGAAAATCGCGCTATTTTTGGCCGGTAGCGGCGAAAATCGCGATTTTTCCCCGCCAGCTGCGAAAATCGCATGGTTTTTGCGCAAAATAGCGCGGTTTTCGGCCGTTAGCGGCAAAAATAGCCCGATTTTTGGCCGCTAGCGGCAAAAATCGCGATTTTTACCCGCCAGCTGCGAACATCGCATGGTTTTTGGCCGGTAGCGGCGAAAATCGCGTGGTTTTTGGCCGGTAGCGGCGAAAATCGCGCTATTTTATGCCGGTAGCGGCGAAAATCGCGATTTTTGCCCGCCAGCTGCGAAAATCGCATGGTTTTTGGCTGGTAGCGGCGAAAATCGCGCGGTTTTTGGCCGGTAGCGGCAAAAATCGCGCTATTTTTGGCTGGTAGCGGCGAAAATTAATCGCGATTTTTGCCCGCCAGCGGCGAAAATCGCATGGTTTTTGGCCGGTAGCGGCGAAAATCGAGCGGTTTTTGGATAGTAGCGGCGAAAATCGCGCTATTTTTGGCCGGTAGCGGCGAAAATCGCGATTTTTGCCCGCCAGCTGCGAAAATCGCATGGTTTTTGCGCAAAATAGCGCGGTTTTCGGCCGTTAGCGGCAAAAATAAGAACATAAGAACATAAGAACAAAGGTAACTGCAGAAGGCCTATTGGCCCATACGAGGCAGCTCCTATTCTATAACCACCCAATCCCACTCATATACTTGTCCAACCCGTGCTTGAAACAATCGAGGGACCCCACCTCCACAATGTTACGCGGCAATTGGTTCCACAAATCAACAACCCTGTTACTGAACCAGTATTTACCCAAGTCTTTCCTAAATCTAAACTTATCCAATTTATATCCATTGTTTCGTGTTCTGTCCTGTGTTGATACTTTTAATACCCTATTAATTTCCCCCCGGTTATGTCCATTCATCCACTTGTAAACCTCTATCATGTCACCCCTAACTCTTCGCCTTTCCAGTGAATGCAACTTAAGCTTTGTTAATCTTTCTTCATATGAAAGATTTCTAATTTGGGGAATTAACTTAGTCATCCTACGCTGGACACGTTCAAGTGAATTTATATCCATTCTATAATATGGCGACCAAAACTGAACTGCATAATCTAAATGGGGCCTAACTAGAGCAAGATATAGCTTGAGAACCACACCAGGTGTCTTGTTACTAACGCTGCGATTAATAAATCCAAGTGTCCGATTTGCCTTATTACGAACATTTATGCATTGATCCTTTTGTTTTAAATTCCTACCAATCACAACTCCCAGATCCCCCCCGCAATCCGACCCCGCAATCACAACACCATCCAGCTCATATCCTGCAACTCCATCATCATTACCTAACCTCAGAACCCCACACCTATCAGCACCAAACTGCATCTGCCACTCCCCCGACCACCCCAAAACCCTATCCAGATCAACCTGAAGTGACAGTGAGTCCCCCTCCGAATCAACCTCCCTACCGATCTTCGTATCATCGGCAAACTTGCAAATGTCGCCACCCAAACCCGAATCCAAATCATTTATATATACCACAAACAACAGAGGTCCCAGGACAGAGCCCCGAGGCACTCCACCCACAACACCTTCCCACCCTGACCCGACTCCATCTATACCAACTCCCTGCCTCCCCCGGCACAGCCATGCCCCAATCCAGCTTAATATAGCACCCCCAATACCACGAGACTCCATCCCTCCAATCAGCCTTTCATGCGGCACCGCATCAAAAGCCTTGCCAAAGTCAAGGTACACAACATCGCAATCCCTACCACTATCAACCGCCTCAACAATGCTAGAATAAAAAGATAACAAATTTGTCAAACACGAACGGCCACCTATAAAACCATGCTGCGACTCAACTATCAATCTATGTTTCTCAAGATGAAGACGAATTTTACCCGCCATCACAGATTCGAGTAACTTTCCCACAATAGAGGCCTTTTTTAGCCGGTAGCGGCGAAAATCGCGCTATTTTTGGCCGGTAGCGGCGAAAATCGCGATTTTTTTTTTTTTCCCCGCCAGCTGCGAAAATCGCATGGTTTTTGGCCGGTAGCGGCGAAAATCGCGCGGTTTTTGGCCGGTAGCGGCGAAAATCGCGCTATTTTTGGCCGGTAGCGGCGAAAATCGCGATTTTTCCCCGCCAGCTGCGAAAATCGCTTGGTTTTTGGCCAGTAGCGGCGAAAATCGCGCGGTTTTTGGCCGGTAGCGGCGAAAATCGCGCTATTTTTGGCCGGTAGCGGCGAAAATCGCGCTATTTTTGGCCGGTAGCGGCGAAAATCGCGATTTTTTCCCGCCAGCTGCGAAAATCGCATGGTTTTTGGCCGGTAGCGGCGAAAATCGCGCTGTTTTTGGCCGGTAGCGGCGAAAATCGCGCTATTTTTGGCCGGTAGCGGCGAAAATCGCGATTTTTTTCCCCGCCAGCTGCGAAAATCGCTTGGTTTTTGGCCAGTAGCGGCGAAAATCGCGCGGTTTTTGGCCGGTAGCGGCGAAAATCGCGCTATTTTTGGCCGGTAGCGGCGAAAATCGCGATTTTTTCCCGCCAGCTGCGAAAATCGCATGGTTTTTGGCCGGTAGCGGCGAAAATCGCGCGGTTTTTGGCCGGTAGCGGCGAAAATCGCGCTATTTTTGGCCGGTAGCGGCGAAAATCGCGATTTTTTTCCCCGCCAGCTGCGAAAATCGCTTGGTTTTTGGCCGGTAGCGGCGAAAATCGCGCGGTTTTTGGCCGGTAGCGGCGAAAATCGCGCTATTTTTGGCCGGTAGCGGCGAAAATCGCGATTTTTCCCCGCCAGCTGCGAAAATCGCATGGTTTTTGGCCGGTAGCGGCGAAAATCGCGCGGTTTTTGGCCGGTAGCGGCGAAAATCGCGCTATTTTTGGCCGGTAGCGGCGAAAATCGCGCTTTTTTTCCGCCGGCTGCGCCAATCGCAGGGTTTTTGGCCGCAAGCTGCGAAAATCGAGGGGTTTTTGGGCGGTAGCGGCGAAAATCGCGCTTTTTTTGGCCGGTAGCGGCGAAAATCGCGCTATTTTTTAGCGGCGAAAATCGCGCGGTTTTTGGCCGGTAGCGGCGAAAATCGCGCTATTTTTGGCCGGTAGCGGCGAAAATCGCGCTATTTTTTTTTCCCCGCCAGCTGCGAAAATCGCTTGGTTTTTGGCCAGTAGCGGCGAAAATCGCGCGGTTTTTGGCCGGTAGCGGCGAAAATCGCGCTATTTTTGGCCGGTAGCGGCGAAAATCGCGATTTTTTCCCGCCAGCTGCGAAAATCGCATGGTTTTTGGCCGGTAGCGGCGAAAATCGCGCGGTTTTTGGCCGGTAGCGGCGAAAATCGCGCTATTTTTGGCCGGTAGCGGCGAAAATCGCGATTTTCCCCGC